CTGGGGCGCCGATTGATTGGGGCGTAGGTGAGGAAGTATGGATTCCACAGCCCGAAGTGACATTCACCGCCGGGCGTAGTCTCAGAGAGCCGGGCTCGCCGCCAAAGCGCGCGTCGTAACATCTGGAAGCTCATCCGTGTCGAAAGCAGATATAGACTGTAATCCATCACCCAATCATTGTCGCACCAATCGAACGAACCCCCTACATGAATAATTCGGCGGTTCTTGAAATAGTATCTGGACGTCCCAGGGGTGCAACGCTCAGCGACAAGCCCTGGACCTTGAAGCGCCACGGATTAGGTGTGCGTGTGAGACCTTCTCAGCAATGCCGTACGAACTCGTCCAAGGCTTGCAATACATGCAACGTAACCTCGCCCAAGCTCGGGGTGGCAGCCCTCGTTGAATCTTCACCGCTACCAGGGAAGACGGGCCGAGCCGACGATGTCCCTGATCGGCGTGCAGGAGAGATGAGCCCGGTTAGGTGTGCATCAATGCAGTCAAGCGCTTTCCAACGTTGGGCACAAAGATGGTAGATAAGCATAACATGGCTGCAAAGTAATTACATTGCTGGAGGGAACATAATTCGTGTGCAGATGCTGAGGAAGGGGGGAAGCCATAGATTTGTGCGCCTCAGGTGTCTGTAGGCGTAATGTGGGTCCAGGACGCGATCCGCGCGCCACTACAACAAATCAGAGCGCGATACATCAGGCATGAGTTCTAATGTCAGGAGGCAGACATCGACATTATATGCCTCCGAAATTCTGCAATACAGTAAAAGCCACCAGCTAATTGGATCAGGCGAAAGTGCTTACCTCAAACCAATCATGATAACCATCAACGGGGCGGAGCTTAGTATGAATGAGCACGTGTCATGCAGCACAAATTTGAAGAAACGCGCACCAGATTCATGGAAGACAAGCGGGGGAAATATTGGTCCAGGTTGTCAGCGCTCGGTCCGCCCCTGATAGAATCCATTTCCATCTCCAGCGTCGGCAGCGGGTCGAGTGGGAGGGATGTCAGAGCGGCTTCGAGCTGCCCACAGCACTCTTCGTCGAGGGAACTGCTGTGGAGTACGATCTTCCGGACGCGAGATGGCGGCGCGATCGTCGAAAGTGTGTCGACCGCCCTTTCCATTCTGGTCCGCGTTATTCCGCCCATGCGAAGGAGCACGAGGTTTGGCAAGGCGGCGAGGTCCAAACCGGGGTCGCTGGCCTATGCATTTGCATATCAGTCTGTCTATTCCGTGTGCATGAGCAGTTACATACCCGCAGACTAAAGTTGAGGACCTCAATCGTCCGAAGAGCGGGGGCGAATATCTGCAGCCCGACAATCTCTTCGTACTCTTCACGTGGGGACATCGACAAAACCTTCAGGCGCGAGAGATTGAACGGACACAAATCGTGCCCGAACCAATTGTAGAGATATGTTATAGACCGGATGTTGAGTGATTCCAGCATGATGGCGGTGCAAGGACGGTCGGGAACGGGTCGCACAGGATCAAGTGAGTCATCGAAGCAGAATAGGTCGACGTGTCGGATAGAGGGACAGCAGTATTCCCACATCTGAAGAAAGCTCGATGGTTCGGTGAAATTAGCCACCAGTTTCACGCGGGTGAGAGTCGGCAGCCTGAATAGCTGTCGAACTGCGACCCCCATAACGAGCTGCACAGAGGTTGGATGCCGAATACACGCATATTCCAAATGAGTAAAAGCAAACTCGCATATTTCTGAGAATGTTTCGGTCGAGAGCGCCTGCGAGTCGAGACGAAGTTGGCGGATGTGACGGATGAAGCGCGGGGAGCTGCGCAAGATCTGCCGAAGTCGAGTCCATCGGCGCCGAGATGACGTTGGCCTTATGCAAAGCACACTAAAAAGGTGGACCTGGGCCGCATACGTCCAAGAACGAGCAACCAAAGCACACGCCTTCAGGGCGGAGGGCGAGTCATGGAGGAATTCGATGCAGTGGTCCGCTAGCTCAGGGATAAGCAGAGGATTGGGTTTGCCCTCGAGTCCGATGGGCCGCTGTGAATCAGCCATAAGTGTCTTGGGCCTTGTGGTGGGAGGATGGAGCCGGGGCTCGGGAGAGACAAATCGGAATGTCACGTGGTTTTGTTTGGCGTGATGACAAATGCCGGAGGAACCGCGTCCTTTGGCGAAATGCCGCACCACATGCCACCTTCGTTTCTTGACTTTTAACTAGAGTGTATTAGATTTGGTTTAAAACGGTGTTTTTTTTTGAACGAGATGTGCTCCGTATTTTTTGAGAATAGAGCCCCACATCGGTCTATTTTTGGCAGCCTCATTCGATACAGTCCATCTGCGGCCTCCCGTGGCCTTCAGTCGCTTGGAAAAGGCGAGGGAAGCACGAGGGATGTAGGAAGATGTGTTCCATTGAAAAATGGAGGCTGAGGTGGAGGGAGTGCTTGTGCACTGCCATTGCATCCGGAGGTAGTCTGTGGAGCAAAATCATTTTTTGAGAAAGCGTTCGAAGTAACCGATGAAAGTCGTTTTAAACCAAATCTAGATACTTTAGTATCCTAGGTTCTTCAGTACGTGATTTTTTTTTGTAGAAGGTTCTACATAGAACATCTCCGTAATAGGCAGTGGTGATGGCGTGATCCCTGATTTTGTTTTGTGTTGTGGAATATGGGGAGGAAATAAACCAATAAGGCTCCAACTATTTGGTTTTTGTTTGAAGATCTGGCGAAATCAAACGGAAACGATATCTAAACAGTTTAAAAATCGTTTTTTAAAACCGTTTAAAATGGTATTTTTGGTGGACATTTCAACCATCCTTATAAACCACATTTTGCGATCCGAACTGAGCCAGGATGAAACTGAGAGGGGCCGTATGTGACAGAACATTGTAGAGGACATCTAGAAACCCATTCTGTACTGTGCTGCACTCTGGGACACATTTGACCCAGGGTATGCCCGGTAGGGCCATTTCCTTGGAATTTTTACAGCTCTTTGCAGAACTTAGAGCACGGACGATTTCTCCCTCTTTTTGGGCACTTTTTCAATAGTTTTGACCAGGACGGCTGCCCTACCCTCAATTCCTGTCTGTTCCCTCTGTCCATAGGCTCAATCGATTCGCATTCCAAATGCGCAGCGAACCACACCCTCAGCTTTTCTACCTCCCCTCGAGAACTGCATTCGGAGAGGCAAAATAAGTTTTATCTGGTCACTTTTGAGCATTTTTGGGCAGGACAGCTGCCCTGCCCTCAATCCTTTGCCATTTTGCTCAGTCATAGGGTCAGTCTGTTCGTGTTGAAAATGCGCAGTGCACCGCCGACTCGGCTTTTCAACCTCGTCCCCAACACCCTTTCCTGACAAAGGAAATCAGTCTGACAGGGCAATATTTGATCTTTCGTCCACAGAACGGCTGCTACGGCCTCATATTTTAACCAATTGTTGTGTCCATAGGCTGAATCTCTTCACTTTACAAATGTGCAGAGCAAGGTGTCCTCAGATTCTTCGATTGGTCCCACAGCGCCCTCCCAGTACAGGAGTTCATTCGTAAGAGAATATTCATGCAGGACAGCTGTGAGGGTCTTTTAGGGTGCCTGCAAACCATGGTTTTTTTGATATGTTGCATGTTGATCCATTGCACTGGTTGAAGCTTTGAAATTTTTGACTGAAAAAACTGGTGAAAAATGTTTTAAATTTTACACAAGTTTTTTGCCAAAAATGCAGGTGAAAAACTCAAGAGTTTTTCAGCAGTTTTCCATTTTATTTTGAAAATTTCACCTAAAGCTGAGAAACTTTTGAAAATGATTCAAGTTTTTCACCTACATTTTTGGCAAAAAACCTCTGTAAAACTCAAAACATTTTTCACCAATCTTTTCACTCAAAACTTGAAATCTTCAACCAGTGTTGACTAGCGAATTGTATGCACATATTGATATAATGCACCCTGGGCCGGCGACAGGGGGGATACATTACAGTTGTTGTGTTATTTCGGCGCTGGCCTGTGAGCTCAGAGACATTTTGAGTCGGCTAGGGGGTTTACACGGACGCAGAATGCTAAATAATACTGATCAACTTACATACTAGGGAATCAAAATAGAAGAGAAACAATACAGGGAAACAATGAATGACCTGACCCCGAGTCGAACGGGGGACCTTCTGCAGAAATGCAGAAATAATCTACTATGAGATGCAGTTGCACTAGCCATCGTGCGTTCAGGTCCTCCTGTGGGTGGGTACAACTTGAGTTAAGTGATCTTGGGTGGGTTGTTGGTCTGTGCATATCAAACTAAAGCCACACTCCCGAGGTTCGAGTGTAGTTGATTTTTTTTTTTTTTTGAGAAGGAGTGCAGTTGGAGGAAGTAGGGACGACGGAGAGCAAGCATACAGACACAAGGGGAAGAAAATGGGATCAGGATCACTGGCCGCAGAAACCAGTTGACAAAAGACGATGACACAAAATCGGACGAAGAAGACGACGACCTGACCCCGAGTCAAACGGGGATCACCTGCAGAAAGGTCTCGGCCAGGTAATATATATGCAGACGCACGGCGTTGTGCTACGAGGTCTTTTCTGGATGGATGTACCTCGAGGTTTGAGGTATTGCGAGAGGTGCACTGCGACTTGGGATATCCAGTAAGGAGTGCTTGAGTTTTTTAGATGGTCCTCTTGTCGAACGAGCGGTGAGTAGCGGATGCAGCCAAAAAGAATTGTGATGGATGATTCCCGCAGCGCAAACCCGCCGACGAGCCTAGAGAGAGAGAAAAAAGTGGACGACGAAAGAATGACCTGACCCCGAGTCGAACGGGGATCCTCTGCAGATGAGCTCTAGGCCAAGAAATATATGCAGACGCACGGCATCGTGCTACCAGGTCTTTCCTTTCATGCACCTCGAGGTTTGAGGTATTTCTTTTATTTGACAGTCCTCTTGTCGCACGAGGGCAGCTAAAAGAGAAAAATTGTGGTGGGTTAATGCCGCGGTGCAAATTAGCTGATGAGTCCAGAGAAAAATGACCTGAATCCCGCGGGAATGACCTGACCCCGAGTCGAACGGGGATCCTCTGCAGAAAGTTGACTCCACTGACTCCACAATCCTTACTGAATGCAGACGCACTGACATTGTGCTACCAGGTCTTTCCTGGGTACATGTGCCTCAGGCCTTGCAGTAAATTATTGTGTGTGATGGCCGGCCGAAAGTTTGGACTGGGAACTTGCCGGAGGGAGGAGATTCAGAGGCGTGAGTTATTTCGGCGTTGATCTGTGAACAAAAACGGTGTTATGATTCACCGAGGGGCTCGGGCCGCGAGGGAGAAATCAGAGGACTTGCTGGCTTGGTGGAGGCACAAAATGGCTATGGATATCGCCGCCGGAATAGACAAGCCAGTCGATCGGAGATGAGAAAAAGCAAAAAGCAAAAAGCTTGTGACGAACAAGGTATGACCTGACCCCGAGCCTCCTACATAAACCTTTGTCAAGAGGAATAACTGAATGCAGATACACTAACCATTGTGCAATCAGGTCTTCCTATGGGTGCAGCATACAACTTAAGTTGAATGATCTTGCGTGGCTTGCTGCTCTGTAAGATTAAAGTCATACCGAGGTCCGCGTGCACCATTAATTAATTGAGAAGTCGTGCTGTTGGAGGCAGGAGGAACGACGGGGCCTGGCTTGCCGCGCAAGCGTACAAACACAAGGGGGGAAACCGGAATCGGGATTGTTGGCAGGAAAAACCAGTTGACTAGGGCCAAGAAAAAAAAAGATGTGCGAAGATATTGGAATGACCTGACCCCGAGTCGAACGGGGATCTTCTGCATAAATCTATTTCCCAGTTATTACTGAATGCAGACGCACTGACATTGTGCTACCAGGTCCTTCCTGGGAACCAGCACCTCGAGGTTGAGGTATTGCGAGAGGTGCTCACTCGGGATATCCAGTAAGTAAGAGGGCTTGAATTTTTTTATTAGCCGGGCCTCATGTCGCACGAGTACAGCCAAAAAAGAAAAATTGTGGTGGGTGATTCCCGCGGAGCAAACTAGCCGATGAGCCTAGAGAGAGAGGAAAAATGGATGATGAAAGAATGGAATGACCTGACCCCGAGTCGAACGGGGATCTTCTGCATAAACCTATTTTCTTGGAAAAAAAACTGCATGCAGATGCACTAACCGTTGTGCGATCAGGTCTTTCATTGGGTGCAGGAAACTTGAGCTGAGTCACCTTGCGGGGCTTGTTGCCGGGTAAATTGAAATCCACGGGATCCGAGTGCACTATTAATTAATTAAATTTGCTTGAGAAGTCGCAGGAGGAACGGGGCCTAGCTGGCCAAGCAAGCGTACAAGCAGACGGGGGGAAACAAGATCTGCAGAATGGCGGGAGAAACCAGCCGATGAGGGCCAAGGAAAAAAAAAAGAAAAAGTGTGACAGAAATGGAATGACCTGACCCCGAGTCGAACGGGGATCTTCTGCATAAACATACTTCTGAATAATAACTACAACCGCATGCAGATACACTAACCATTGTGTGATCAGGTCTTCTTGTGGGTGTATACAGCTTGACCTAAGTGATCTTGCGTGGCTTGCTGCTCTGCAAGATTAAAGTCATACCGAGGTCCGAGTGCACCATTAATTAATTAATTAAATTTGCTTGAGAAGTCGTGCTGTTGGAGGCAGGAGGAACGACGGGGCTTGGCTTGCCAAGTAAGCAAGCGTACAGACGCAAGGGGGAAAACAAGATCTGCAGAATGGCGGGATAAACCAGCCGATGAGGACCAAGAGAAAAAAAAATTGTAAGAGAATACAGGAATGACCTGACCCCGAGTCGAACGGGGATCTTCTGCATAGACACATTCCTATGGGAATATTGAATGTAGACACACTAACCGTTGTACGATCAGGTCTTTATTGGGCACAGGAAACTTGAGCTAAGTGACTTTGCCATTGCGTGGTTTTCTGCCTTTGGATATTTAAAGCCACGATCCGGAGGTCCGAGTGCATGATCGATTTAATTCGTTTAAAAATTTATGCTGTTGGAGGCAGACGAACGACCGAGCCTTGCCGGCGCAATAAGTATACAGGAAACAAGAAAATTAGACTCACGATTGTTGGTGGCAAAAAACAGCCGATGACGTAAAAGAAGGCGAAGAAAAAACGAGACCACAGCGGAATGACCTGACCCCGAGTCGAACAGGGATCTTCTGCAGAACAGCATATCACTCGGCATACGATAGGCAGACGCACTAACCGCTGTGCTATCAGGCCATTATTATGCTCACTTGCCAAGCGACCAAGGAGAAACTGACGCGGTGGCGAGCAGCAGTGGGAGGGGATCCGAGTCGGGGTGCACCGGTAGATCTGCAGAGCCCGTGAATTCGTCGGAAGTCGACCCTAGCATGGAGTATCCGAGGAAGCTAAGGAGAAGTAAGGCCAGTTCAGTACTAGTGTCATATTGACTCCGAGACCGAATCGATCGTCCGGGACCGAGTAACCAAGTTTGAGACGATTGTCACCATAGCCGGGAAACTCTGCAAGTAGGTGGGTACCCGACAGAGAGAAAGTCCCAGAATTGGATATTTGCGCTCCAGTTCTTGTCTGAGTAGGCCAGAACACTCAGGACGAGAATCCGACACGGAGGTCGGAGAGGCAAGTGGCATATGTCAAAATAGGTCCGATCCCAGTGCGGACGGATTTGGCCTGAAAAAAACCCAAATGTCTCATCACCATGCGGACGGGAACGGCCAAAAAAGGTCCCCATGCCTCATCACAGAGAGCGACGGAAACAGCATTTGGTGTCTGATGTACGATCCATTTGGCGGACAGATTCGCCGAAATCTGTAAAATTTCCCGGATTTCTGATGTCCACCGCAGACCCGAGAGAAAAAATTCGCCGAGGGAGCCTCGCCTCAGCCCGACCAGGCCAAAACATAGGCTCTCGCGCTGAAATGTCCGATCCGTTATGCGGACGAAAAGGCTCAGAAAACATGTTCGCTGATCCCAGTGCGGACGGATGTGGGTCAAAAAGACGCGTACGGAAACGGCCAAAATCGTGAAAATTGGATCGGACCTATTTTGACATATGCCACTTGCCTGGTCGGAGGCAAGAGAAAGTCACGGTCACGGCACGTGAGCGTAACCAACCCTTCTTCCCCTCCTCGTCGATGGCGTTCTCGAATACGGTGGCAAGCAGCGGCGAGACACGCATGAGCCTACCGGCATCCTGTCTCACAGGCCCTCAATCCCAATCCTTTGAGGTTCGTAGCCTTTTCCCCGGCCTGAAGAGTGCCACTGACTCGTTTGCTGCAGGAGGTACGCATCGCGGACTACCTGGCCTCGTACCGCGCGACAGGCCGCCCTCCGCCGCCGTGTCCACTCTGCCCGACCGACCCTGCCGCGCGCGCCGCCCAGCGGCTCCCCCCGCTCTTCGTCCCGACGCCGTTCCCCGCCAAGCCAGCGGCCCCGCACCATCCGCATTCGGCGGCGGGCCCTCCGCCTCGGCGCCCTCACTGCTCTTCGGCGGTGCGGCGCCGACGGCGAGCACGGCATTCGGCACGCTCGCAGCTGGCCCGAGCAGCGCCGCGATGATCACGGACCCCGTAAGGCTACCCCTCGCGCAGGCCTTCACGGCGCCGATCCGGGCGCCCGAGGGTGAGCACTTCGCGAGCATCGCGTCCGCGCCGGAGTATGCGCATTTCAGGCACGCCGTGCGTCTGCTCCGTTTTGCTCTTTGAGTTTGTGCTTACACGTACACGGTGCGCCAGGAGCTGCGGCTGTATGTCTACGCGCGCGGGGCACGGCATCCGCCGCCGGGAACGCCGCTCTTCGCCTTCGTCCCTGCCCCCGCGCGCGCACCCGCGCCGCAGCCGGGCGCTCTCCCGCAGGACGCCTCCGGCCCACAGCAAGCAGGAGGGGCGAGGCCGACGTTCTCGTTCGGCCCGGCCCGGCATTCTCGTTCGACACGGCCCCGGCGTTCTCGTTCGATGCGGCCCCGACATTCTCATTCGGCGCGGGGGGGACGGGGTTCTCGTTTGGGGGGCGGAAGGGGGTTTAGGCTCGATGAGGGTTGTAGAGCGGGGCTACGTTTAGCGGTGGCGAGAAGGGAGAAGGGCGAAGGGGGAAGGGAGATGTGTTATCTCGCGGACTTCCTGGTCTCATACCGCGCGACAGGCCGCCCGCCGCCACCGTGCCCGCCGCGCGCGCCGCTCAGCACCTCCTTTTTCTTCGTCTCCGCGCCCTTCCCCGTCCTCGGTAACCCGCCCACCCCCAAACTCGGCAACGCCTCCCCGGCGTCGGCGCGTGGCACCATTCTACCGCCGGACGCCTCTCTCAACTTGTATACCCCACGCCCATGCGTTGCCGCAATCTTCACTTCCCACTGCGCCACCCGGCGAATCTTTCTCCCTGGACCATGGTTTCATACGCACCAGATCGCGACCTGTCGCTTTCAGGGCGTGCAACCGTTCATCGGCGATTTTGACGCAAATCCCAGCACCACCCGGTCTTGCTTTCGGCCGGCGATTCGAATTCTCGGTATTAAATTTCCACATCCCTTAGCTCTTTCTACCTCGTCTAGAGAACGAGCGAGGAATCCCGGGTGCTTCTCTATTTCATGCCTACGACACTCACTCCATATCTTCCCCGCCATTTCCCTACTGTGTCGACACATGTGCGAGTCATGGTTACTGGATTTAATGCTCAGATATTCATTGCCCTTCCGCCACCACCGAAAACCCTCGTACACGACTCCACTCTTCGCCCGAGGCACCGTCTTATGGGGGTATTTGCGGGATTTCATGTTCGAAGAGCGAACGCTGGGGCACCTCGTGTCTCAATCTCCCCGAATCTCGCTTTGGTTCCTGTTTCGCATCGCACCCCTGGCTGGGTCTCATTCGATTACGCGGCCTTCAAGCACGATTGCGACCCGGTTATTATGCCTTGCCTCTGGACTAGGGTCTGCGACTCGGAGCTCCTCTCCCCCAAAATCCCTGGTTCGCGCGGACAAGAATTGAGGTACGCGCTCGCTAATCCTTGCTCTGTGGCAGTCCATGAACTCGCCACGCCCACCTGTCTGACTCCCAGTTTTGTGTGAGTTTTCACTCATTTGATTCCCCTTCGCGATCCTCATTTTTTCACTTTGGTCCAAGGCTCCCGCGCCTGTGCTGTAGGAGTCCGTAGCTCCGGTGCGGTTTCTACAATCGGTTCTGTATCTCAGTATCGTAGATCGCCACCCTCTCAGGAGTTTCGCGCCGTCCCGTTTTGCATTCGTCTTCCTGCCAACTTTCCGAGCGCGAGGGCCGTTCGGAGATAAGAAATGATGTTCACAAGCCGGCATCTTGATAAAAAACCTCCCACGGCTTTGATCGCTGCCCCGCATACAGGGCAGGTCGTATTCCAGCCCAATGGTCCCATAAGCAGGATTCTACAATGCAACACCTTCTGTCATGTAAGTGGCCGACTACCTAGTATAAGCAGGTCGGGCAGTCACACGGGGAGTCGCGCTGAGCAAAGATATATAACGCAGAAGACGGGGGTACAAATGCGTGGGGGATAAAAGCTAGCGTACGTCTGAGTGATATAAAAGCAAGATATGAGCCATCGAAAGTCCGTAGTGACAGAGACAGAAAGGGGAGGATGCGTGACAGGCTCCATTTCAACACCTAGCTTGGCCGGGACGGCAGTCGCAGATAATATCCTTAAAACAGTCA